CTGCGTCTTTTTTCTCCCAATCTCTCAGGTTTTGTAAGGTTTCCAATGGCTTCAGATCTTTTCTGTGTGATGTATGGGCGCAAGTGCAAGTACGGAGCTCCTTACTTCTCCGCCATCTTGCCCTCTCTCCCAACAATTAATTTTCTAAAGTGAATTCTTGCATTGGACAAATGCCTCAACATTTCCCTACATCAAGCATTTCTCAAACAAGTTCAAGAGATGAGAATATTTTGTTATGAAAACTGCTGCATCTCTAACAAGCCCTTTCTGTTAGCAGATGGTGGGGACTCAGAACAGGCCGGCTCAGCAGAGGTCAACCACCTCTAGATGAAGGTTGAAAGTCTATTCAAGGACACTAAAATGCATCTCCAAGTTTATAAGTCATGGAAAGTAGGAAAAATGCCATTTAGAAAGAGCTAAGTGGTAGGGCTAAATCAGGGTTGGGGCTACATTGCTTTCTCAGGTCTTCTCCTTTCTATTAACATCAAAGTCATAATCTGCATTTCTCTTTGAGACAGTGTTTTAGTTGGTGGATTGAAGGCAAGCTTCACCATGTGAAAACTCACCCTTTTCTTCCTCAATCCTAAATTAATGCCTACTTGCTCCTCAGAACCCTGTTTTATGTACTCCAAAAGACTGGAGATTTGTACACCATCTGCCACAAGGGGAGTGAAGCTTCCACCAAGATCCATGTTTTTCATTTCCCATCCTGGAGCCCCTCCTCCTTCCAGCAGCCAGCCAGCCCAGCAAGGAAAATTGTCCCTGACTTCTCAGTTAAAGAGAAAACCTTAGACTATGAGAAGAAACATGCCATAAAGTTACCAGCTTAATTAAGCCATTATAGTTTTTAGGAATGTTTAAATACAGGCAGTTTGAATGTATAATTCAGTCTGAGCACAGCCTCATCCTATGTTTCCTTGGTCTGCTCAGAACCAGACTGTGAATGGACAACAGCTGGGATAATATCCGGAGAGGACAGAACCAGAACCTCATGACCACTGTAGTTTCCATGACAGATTTCAATTTAAAAAAAAATTTTTTTTTAATTTATTTCTGAGACAGAGAGAGAGAGAGAGAGAGAGAGAGCATGAGCAGAGGAGGGTCAGAGAGAGAGGGAGACACAGAATCTGAAACAGGATCCAGGCTCTGAGCTAGCTGTCAGCACAGAGCCCGACTTGGGGCTTGAACCCACGAACCACGAGATCATGACTTGAGCCGAAGTCGGGCACTTAACCGACTGAACCACCCAGGTGTCCCTCTCCATGATAGATTTAAAAAGTGGTTTCTTTTGGCTTGGCCCCAAACTGGGGAGCCTGAACTCTCGAAATACCAGGTACAAGGGTCCACCCCACAGACAGTATTTGGATGTTCAGCCTATCCCTCTTCACTGGTATCAGGAAGGATAGCCCAAACATTCTTCTGTAGAGAAACATATAGAATGTGTTTGGGGGAAACATGGTCTTTAGAAAAGTAATTCTACACTCCAGCCCTGAGGTTAAAGAGAGATAACTACAATCACAGTTTAAATGCTAAGGTCACCCTAAATCTCTCTTTGGGGGCAAGTGTACATTTGGAAAAGCCCAAGAAACCCATAGCTTATGCTGTGACCCTCACTCAGCACTTCCAGGACTATGCAATTTTACAAGTTGATAGCTCTTTATTCCAAAAAGGTAGAATATTTCTTGTTCAGCAACACATTCAGTACTTCAGTTTCTATGTCCAATCTCCCCTGCCCCCAATAGGCCTAGATAAACAAGTATATACAAACATCAAAATGTTAAAAGAAACTTTGCTATGCTCACTTGGACAGAACATATGCTAAAATTGGAATAACACAGAGAAGATTAGCATGAGTCCTGAGCAAGCATGATACACAAATTCATGACGTGATCAAACATAAACCCTAAAACTGTAAAACTCCCAGAAAACATAGGCAGTAGCCTCTTTGACATTATTTAGGTGACAATTATTTGCATTTCTCACCACAAGCAAAATCAACAAAAGCAGAACAAAACTTGTGGGACTAAGCCAAACTAAAAATCTTCTGCACAGCAAAGAAAATCAACACAAATGAAAAGGCAACCTACCAAATGGCTCTAAGTATTTGTAAATCAATTATCTGATAAGCAGCTAATACTCAAGAGGTATGAAGAACTTCTATACCTCAGTAGTCATAAAAATAGGCTGGTTAAAAAATGAACCAGTGGCCAGTGAACAGACATTTTATTTTTCTAAAGGAGCGAGATCAACAGGTACATAAAAAAGTGCTAAACATTACTAATTATCAGGGAAATCCAAGTCAAAAGCACTAGATACCACCTCACATTTGTTAGAAAGGCAGCCAAGAAAAGAACTAAGTGTTGGTGAGGATGTAGAGAAAAGAAAAATCTAGTGCATTGTTGTTGGGAATGGAAAATGGTGCATCCACTATGGAAAATAGTACGGAGGTTCCTGAAAAAATTAAAAATAGAACTATCATAGGATGGAGCAATTCTACTTTTTGGAAATTTATTAAAATAAAGTGAAAACACTAATTGGAAAAGATACATACACCCATGTATATTGCACCATTATTACAAGAGCCAAGTTATGGAAACAATCTAAGTGTCCATCGATGTATAGATAATGAATGATTAAAAAATGAATGATTTATATATAAACACATGTATACACACTTGTATATAATGGAATATTATTCAACCTTAAAAAATAAGGACATCTTGTCATTTGCAGCAACGGGGATGGATATTGAGGACACCGTGTTACATGTAGTATGTCAGACAGAGAAAAATACCTTATGCTCTCCTATGAAAAATCTTCAAATACAAACCCAAATACAGACAACAGATTGGTAGTTGCCAGAGGCAGGGAATGGGTTTGTGAAACAAATGGGGGAAGGTGGTCAAAAGGCACAAACTTTCCGTTTTAAAGTAAGTTGTGAGGTTGTAATGTGTAGCATAACTGTAGTTAATAGTCCCATGGTGCACATTTAAAAGTTACTAAGAGAGCTGATCTTAGAAGTTCTTATCACAAGAAAGAAAAAATAAGTGTGTACGGTGAAGGATGTCACCTTGGTTGGCTATGGTGATCATTCCATAATGTATGCAAATAGTGAATCCTCACACTGTACACTTAAACCAATAGAATATTAGGACAGTTACATCTCAATCAACGCTAAAAATTAAAAACTTTACTGGGTATGTGCTGGTGATAAAATTGTCCCAAACCCCATACGTCCCCTTCACCTGCTGGCAATGGTGTCTCCTCTCCTTAAAACTAGTTCAATCTGAGAGACAAAGGGGTGGGGGTTGGAGCTGAACAAGTAGACAGAAGACACTGGATGGCGGACATGGCCTGTGATAGATCACAGAGGAAAATGCATAGAAATCAACAGGTTTCCCCCTGTTCTTGACATTGGCACAATACTTTTATTGTGATGGAACAGTCTGCGTTCTTAGATCATCCTAATAATCCACTGAAGTGGACATTAAATTATATGTTTAATCTATCAGTTAAGAAAATCCCAGAAAAGAAAGCATGTATTTTAAGTCAAATGACATCCCCCACCACATCATATTGTGTGTGTGTGTGTGTGTGTGTGTGTAACACAGAGATGGAGATTGAGAGAGATATACGTAGAGAAAAGTAATTCTCTTTCACTCTTCTGCAAAGAATCAAAATTTGACTCCTTCCTTGACAATATGAATGCTTTTATTTGTGTTGTCTGATTACTGAGGCTAGGACTTCCAACCCTATGAATGACAGTGGTGACAGTGGGCATCCCTGTTGTGTTCTTGATCTTAGAAAGCTGCGACATTACTGTGGGTCTTTTGTATATGGCCTTTATGATTTTGAGGTCCATTCCTTCTATCCCTGATTTCTTGAGGGTTTTTAATCAAGAAAAGATGCTTCGTTTTGTCAAATGCTTTTGCTGCATTTATAGAGACCCTACCTTTTGAGAGGTGTAATTTCGATTTGCACCTTACACACAGTAGGATTTTATAAATCTTTGTTTTACGTTATCCTCAAAGAAAGGAACGCTGAAAAGCAAAATCTACATGATAAACGGAAAGGAGGAAAAGAGTGGTGCAGATAGTCAAATCTAAAAGGATAGAATAACTGTGATACCCAGTCCCTTCTTTGCCAGTCCCAAGTTTTAGAAACTCACATTCTGAATCCTCTGAATATCTGAATTTCTTCAGCTTCCTGAGCCACAAGAGTGAACAACACCTTCTATTTCCAAATGCACCCAGCCAGCTATCCAAGCACTTTCCAAGTTAAAAGTCGTTGCTTTCAATGAGCTCACCAACTTCTGCAATTCCTGAGACTGAGGTGAGTTGAGGGCTCCACGGTGTTACAAATAGTAACTCCACAGTTATAGCCAAACGCCATGAGTTCAATTACCCCATTACCCTGTGGTTCTCAAACTGTAGCAAGAATCAGAGTCACCAGAAAGTCTTGTTAAAACATAGGGTGTTTGGTTCCACCCTTAGGGTTTCTGATTAAGGAGGTCTAGACTAGGACCTAAGAAGTCCATTTCCACAAATTCCTTGGTGTTACAGACTAGGAGTCTGGAGTTCCCTCTTATCGAGCAAGAGAGCGGATGCAGAATTGAATCTGAGAGGCTAATATCCGGGAAAAGATAAGAGCCCAGACCACAGCTTTCCTCTCCGTATTGACTGAGCTCACAAGATATTACCCACGTGGTGAACATGAAGAAAACAAGGTCTTACACAGGTGAATGTGGAGAAAACAATCAGACAGTAATCGTTAACTTCTGTGAGAAGCAGAGTCTGGGAGGGCAAATGCAGTTTGTGATCAAGGTACACTGGTTCCAGATGGAAACTAATTTCCTGCAGGTGATGTAACAAGTTACTCGGCATCGCATTACAATATCTCGCTAGCTAAACTTGGGTGCTTTCACTCCATGGTGATGGCTTTCCGCCCTAAGCTTTTTTCTAACCCATTAATGTAAGTAGAACCTATTTTCCCACACCTTGATACTGCTGAGTTTGCTAGTGTAGGTGTGGGGATGATTTTTTTGATGACCTATGGCCTAGGGGGCCCAATTGCCTTTGAGATGCACCATAGCTTTTCTAGAAACATCTGCCCATAAGTCCTTAGTACTTCTGGCCTCAATGAGGATTTGAATGGGTGTAAGAGAGGCATGGATGATGAGCAGGAGGTGAGAAGGTCAGGGGCATTAGATTTTTATTCCATCCATCCTTAAGCTCTAGGGCTGAAAACTATAGGTATTCTAGGTGCCCAGTGGGTTTTCAGGTAATTAAGCTTTTAAAGGATGAAGTCTGCCAGCTTGCAGTTTGAAGGCAAGCAGCCAAAAACTTGTGAGAGGAAAAAAGATATGGCCTTAAGGTGCTTGCCCAGAAGCTTTGAATTTATCTGATATAACCAGGTCATGACTTGAGGGGGAAGAATTCTGCTTGTTAAAATAATCAGTTACATTTCCTAACATTTGGAGAGAAGACCTCAGGGAAAGGTAGTTCTCTTTAAACTCTATAGATTTGTGGACTGAATCCCCTCACAGGTGTAGCCCTTCGAGACTATGTAATTAAGAAAATGGAATAATGTAGGAACATCTGCATAAGGAGTTAAGATGATTGGAATGAATCACACATCTGCCATAGAGGAATTGATGTTGAGCATATATAATCATAGCTTGATTATTAAACTATCCTAAATAGAAATAAAAATGGAGTATGTATTAAAGAGAGCTTTCTGAGCTAAGGGTTAAAGGACAAATAGAAAGCAGGTGTTCCTAAACAGAACTTTACTGTTACACTTATCTGCACCACTCAAGTAATTTAAAAGAGATACTTTCATTGTATAGTTTTTGCGGAGGCATGGTTTTGTTTCTTCATTCTTGTTCTCCTTTACTCTTTCTATTTTACAGATACAACCTGAGTCCCTACTATGTGCAAAGCAGTAAACCAGATTTTTTTGTTGGATACAAACCTAAGTAGAATGTGTAAGCTTTTCCTATCTAATAAGAAGCTATAATACCAGTCAAATTACAAAGTGTAGTAGAAAGCCATCGACACAGAGAGAGGTACAACACACAGAGAGACGTATTATTTGAGGAATATGGAGAAGGTGTTATTATGCTTTCCTCTTACAAAAGCCCTCCATTAAGAGAATCATCCTAATTGAGCAAGAGGCTCAGTGATATTAGATCCGTATCTGTTGGTGTCAATTAAATTACTGATGCATTTTCCACACCGACTCCATAATTAGTAAGAGAGCCAGCTAAGTTCAAGATTCAAAAATAGAAGATTGTGGGGTGTCTGGGTGGCTCAGTCTGTTAAGCATCTGACTCGTGATTTTGGGTCAGGACATGATCTCAGGGTTGTAAGACCATGCCCTCTCTCCTGTTTGCTCTTACATATTCTCCCTTTCTCTAAAAAATAAGAAAGAAATAGAAGATTCTCTACCCTCTCCCTTAAAGTTAATCTCCACAACCTTGAGCTTTGAGTCACACAGGTACCCTAATCCCTTAGCCAATCTCTTCAGACTGTAGCCTGTTAGACTCTAATATAGTCCCTTGACCTAGGTACCTGGGCTGTACTTATGCTTTTAGCATGTTTTGTCATAATAATCTTCTTTCCTGTGGATGCAGAACCTCTTTATTGCTTTCATCCTTCTATCCAGGACATCTCTTCTATTTCTTTCTTTGTAAAGCAAACTGTAAGACTTTCTTCTCTCAGAAACACAATTTTAATTCAATTGCTAATTCACACAACTAAAATATTAATCCTAAATATAGATATTAGGGGATCGTTGGAGCCCTCTTACGATTTGGGATGATCTGAAGTCCTGGAGAGACAGTGATAGAGGGTGCACGTAATCCCACCAGCATATCTCATAATAATGGGTTCAAGGGAGC